TGTGTGTGTGTGTGTGCGTGCATGTGTGTGTGTGTGTGTGTGTTTTTATATGTGTATGTGTGTGTGTCTGTCTGTCTGTGTGTGTGTGTCTCTCTCTCTCTCTCTCTCTCTGTGTCTTATGGGTATGATTATCGTTTAATGTATATTTTTCTCCTGTCTGGAGCAGATGAGATGATAACAACAGTAACATCATCATCATATTTATATTCCATCAGTGTCGTCCTGCTTTTAGGCTGTTATTATGGAACAGTATAATGATCTGCGTTGATATTCAGCGTGTCTGTGGACTGACCTTTCACCTCATGATGACCTTTGACCCTCACACACACTCACTCACTCACTCTCTCTAAACTAAAATTCACTGGTTTGTTCACGTTTAGGATGTTTGTTGGCAAGGAAACGGTCAATCCATTTCAGTAACCCTGATGATTATATTGACTGTTTTATATTCACATTCACAAGACTGTTTTTATGGAATCAATATGAAGTTTTGTTTTGCCAAAAACTCCAAAAACCAAAAAAGATTGCATGTAAAATGGACAAAACAGGGTGAAATCAGGTAAACTTTTCTAGCTTCAACTCTAAGGCTTTAAACTAGTCTGATGTAGTTGCACTGACCCTGTGATGATTTTGATGGACAGCAGCTTTAGTTCAATATTGATTAAGCTGTTGATCTATTTCAGGTCCATTTTGACTTCTTGTTCAGCGTTATTTGTGAAGGTTGAAAGTGTCTGTTTGATGTCTGATGAGAAACGGCCTTCAGAAGCCACTCAAGTAATTAGATCTCTAAATATTCATGTGGTCATTAAACTCTGAGCGGGTTAGCAGAATCTCTGACCGCAGTGGCCGGAAAGGACGTCTGTCCTGCTGCTTTGGAAGAACATCCAAAAGTGACGCCAGTCGTGATCAGAAACCCAGAAGAAACTTTCACAAACTACAGTGATGTACACTGAGAAACAATCTGGTGTACAAACAATATTCACTCAGAAATTGCTCGTAAATTTCACAAAAAAATTGCAAAGAAATGGCACATAACACATTGAATTAAACACACAATTCTTAACTAAAGGCAGAAATAGTTTTTTTGTTTGTTTTAATAATCCTTGTTTTATTTACAACTTGGCTTTTATTAAT